CAGGCGCCGGACTGCTCTGAGACCAGGCCTCGTGTCGGAGGGCCGGGAGGGCGTTCGCTCTTTCAGGGCCGCTCTTCGGCCTCCGGCACGGGAGAGGGCCGTGCTCGGGACCCGAGCCCACACCCTCGTCGCAGGCGCACGACCAGGCTGCCGTCCACTGCGGGTCAAAGCGACCTCGGGAAGTGGGCGCCTGGGCTTCGCCACACAGGGCTGGCCGCGAATGGCCGCGGCTGCTCAAGCCGGGGAAGGCAGGACTCCTAGGGAAGAGGCCCGCGTCTCTGCGTGCGGGGTGCCGTCGCTGGCCCACGCCAGCCCAGAGTCCCCTGGAGCTGGTACACTCCCCCGGACGATGGACGTGGCCTCGGCCGCAGCGCGGACCTGCCGGGGCCTGGCCTGGATGTAAGAGGCCTGGTTTCGAGCCGCCTCCCTGCTGGCGCTTGTGCTTCCAGGTCGGCTGGGCCTCCGCGGAGCTCGAGCCTCCGGCCCAGACCCTTCTGCCTCTGTCGTCTTCCTCGGCGGGTGCCCTGCTGGTGTCCTTCCCTCTACGCTTCATTCTCTTCTTGCCTTTTTCCTTCTCGCTCTCCACCGGCGGCTCGGCCTTCTCGGCCTGTCTTAGGGGACCGGTCTGCCTCCCCCCCACATTCTTCCCCAAGAATCCCTCTCCCCGCCGGTCCTCCTCCCCGCGTTTACCAGCAGCTTGGCCCTTCGGACTCCTGCCCGCGATGAGAGGCCTCCTGCGCTCGGGCGGAGACCCAGCCCCGGCCTCCTTCCCGCATCACCCCTCTTGCAGGCAGGGCTCGCCCGCCCAGGGCCGGCAGGGCCGCTCTGCTCTCCTAGGTCCGTCTCGGACACGGCGTCGCAGCTGTCTTTCACCTCCATCCGCTCTGTTTTAATAATTCGTTTGAAGCGGGCAAAAAAATCATTTTAGGACTGAAGAAAATGGAAACATCTTCACGGGAAGGAGTCTGAACAGAGAAAATGGGGACGACAGTTTCGGGCTTCGCGGGGTGCTTTGGGATTTCCGGGAAGCGCCCAACCCCTCCCCAGGTGACGCCTCGGCCGCCCGCCGCGTGGCTGCCGTGCCGCTCACAGAGAGCGAGTGCGCACACTCCACTCGTGTTCTTTCGTGAAGGCAGCAATGCGCACTTGGTTGGGGCTAACGCCTGTGTTCCCAACTCGTTGCCGTTTCTTTTTGGTTTCCCTTTTCCACGAAAGACACCCTCTGCGCGTCTCGGAGGGCCTGTGAACCTGTGCACGGAGAACCCCGAAGTCTCCGAGGCTCTGGGGCCTGGGGAACGCCAGGGCGGAGCGCGGGGTTGGAGGGTTCCCCTTCCCAGACTCCGGAGACGCCGGCGCTGAGGAGCGTCGCCCCTGGCGTGGCGCAAATCCTCGCGCCCGGCAGCCAGGCAGAGAGGTTTCCACAGGGGTGGCCTGAGCGAGCGCGAGCACCCCCGCGGCGCACGGCGAGAGGGTCCCCGAGTCGGAGGAGCGCGGCTCCAGCTCACGCAGCTCCTGTCTCTCTCCCGCAGCCGTGTTGAAGGCAGAGCAGGCGGCGGTGTTCAAGTTCCCGCTGGCGCCGCTTGGTTGTTCGGGGCTGGGCTCGGCGCTGCTGGCCGCCGGGCCTGGGCTGCCCGGCGCCGCGGGTGCGCCGCACCTGCCGCTGGAGCTGCAGCTCCGCGGGAAGCTGGAGGCTTCGGGCCCTGGGGAGCCGGGCACCAAGGCCAAGAAGGGGCGCCGGAGCCGCACCGTGTTCACCGAACTGCAGCTGATGGGCCTGGAGAAACGCTTCGAGAAGCAGAAATACCTCTCCACGCCGGACAGGTAGTGCGGGGCGAAGCCGGGGTCCGCGGGCGGTGGGGGGCGGCGGCCTGCGCTGCTGAGGGTGCACCCTGCTCTCTCCAGAATAGATCTTGCCGAGTCCCTGGGCCTGAGCCAGTTGCAGGTGAAGACCTGGTACCAGAATCGGAGGATGAAATGGAAGAAAATAGTGAGTGTGGCGGCAGCGTCCCGCACCCTCAGTTTGCTGGGCCTTGCCCCTGTGCCCTGCCCCTGTGCCCTCCAACAGCTGCTCCCCGCCCCTCCCTGCAGCGACTTCTCCCCAGCCCTCCGATTCCCTCAGTACCCGGTGCGTCCCGGGACCCTCCCTGTTCTCTGTCCCTTTGGGTGCTCTAGCGGAGCCTTTTTGACCCGCTGCACCCTCAGCCCCCCTGGCAGCCTTGAATCCCTCAGCCAGACCTTGGGGCCGCCTCTCCCCAGCTGCGCTCAAACGGCCGCCATTTCGCCCGGGCAAGGAGCGGCGTCGGGGGGCCTTATTGGGCCCCTCAGTCTCGCTTGGGTGAAGGGTACGGGGCTCCCCGGTCCGCGTCCCGGCTCACGGCGGCGCTGGCCGTCCCCCGTGCAGGTGCTGCAGGGCGGCGGGCTGGAGTCCCCCACCAAGCCCAAGGGGCGGCCCAAGAAGAACTCCATCCCCACGAGCGAGCAGCTCACGGAGCAGGAGCGCGCCAAGGAGGCGGAGAAGCCGGCGGAGGTGCCGGGCGAGCCGAGCGACAGGAGCCGCGAGGACTAGTGCGGCAGACGCTGCGGCGCCCGGGACCCCAGCGCTGCTCTCAGCCGCCTCAGCCCTCTGGAACCCGAGAGCCGGCCTTCGGCGCCCACGCCGGTTTCTTCCTAAACATTTTATCGTTACCTTGAATGCGGACAATTAGGGGCCAACGAGAAAGGACGCAGACCCTGAAACAGAACCCAGGCCTCGGCGCGCTGCTGGCCCCTAGCCCGGGAGACTCGCGTCCAGCGCGGCGGGAGCTATCCGGTTCGGCGCTCCGCGGCGCCA